TCGTCAAAAACACAACACATCAACTCCTTTTGCCCTAATTCTCCTCTCTCAACCTCTCGTGCTGTTCGGCACGTCTTCCGGCGAGATTTGTCGGCATCCTAGGCGGCCTTACTAGTCCTAGGAGATCCTCCACATGCTCCTCCCCGACGGGTCTTCCAGGGAGAAGTTCGGGAGCTTTTCCAGCCAAGATCGAGCTCCACATCGACCCTATCGTTCTCTAGATCGGTTTGACCGATTACACTACGTTCTTGCTACATTGCATGTTGTGTGCAGCCTCTTTGGGCGTCCAAGGCCCTCGCTGGTGTGTAGGCTTGAGGTCATCTTCAACGTCAACATATCCCTTCTGCGCTCGCGCCTTGTCCCACCTCAATGCACGGCCATGGCTGCCTCCCTGGGCGACGGTGGCACCCTCACCCGCCCTGGCGTGCGTCCTTCCCCACCCCGACGTCCTCCTCCCCCACCTCGGTAGCTCCTCCCCCCACCTTAGCGTCCTCACCCACCGGGAGCGCCCAACACTCGCGGAACTGGTGGCCCTCTCCCCCACCCCTGCGAGATCCATGGTGGTGGCATGACGGTGTTACGAGGGAGTCGGCGGCTCTCCCCCACCCTAGCGGCGTCCTGCCTCACCCCGGGCGACCGAGCTCCCCCCACCCCGGTGGCCATGGCGCTCCCTACCCCCCATCCCCCACCGTCGTCGTCGAGCCAAGCCCGGTGCCACTAGCGCTGGTGGTGGTGGTGCTTGCACGCGCCGCTGGTGATGGTGCCGAGTGGTGCTCGCGCGCAGCCGCTCGCCACCAACTCCCACCCCGTCGGCTAGAATCGACCAGCCCAGACCTCTCTCTCCCTATGTTGCAAATGTGCGTTTCAATTGTTTCAGACATTTTATAGGCATGTTGCAATCGTTTCATATGGATGTCACAAAGTAGATCGGGGGATGTTGCACATGTTGCATATGTTACAAGTGTTTCAGAGGCATGTTGCACGCGTTTGTTCAAACTGTTACATCTGTTTTCAGATGTATGTTGCAAGCATTTTGATCTAGATGTTGCATATATTCTCACACATATGTTACAACAGTATTTCCAAAATGTTTCATCTGTTTCAGTCTTCTAATGCAGCAAGTGTTTTCATGTTGCAAGTTGCAAGTGTTCTATCTGGATGTTGCATATTTTTCACATATGTTGTAAGTGTATATTCCAAATATTTCATTTGTTTCAGATGTATGTTGAAAGTGTTTTATCTAGATATTGCATATGCTGCAGTGGTTATACGCATATGTTGCAAATGTATGTTTTAATTGTTTTACCTTGTTTCAGTATGTTGCAACAGGTGTTGCTCCCCACGCGCTCTGACTTGCGGGCAAGCACGCGCTGCACAATGTGCCCCCGCGCCACCAGGTGTGGTCCCCCATGGTGGAGCATGCAGCCGGCTCAACACATGTGCATGCACGCTATGCTCCCTCCCTCTCTCTCACACACATTGGGGCATGTGCGTTGTGCTCTCTCTCGCATTGGGGCACGCGTACTGTGATCCCTCTCTCTCTCTCGCTTGCAGCTAGGGTCTCTCTCGCATTTGGGCACGCGCGTTGTGCTCTCTCCCTCTTGCATTGGGGTACGCACGTTGTGTTCCCTCTCTCTCGCATGCAGCTGGGCCAGTAGGAGGATGCGTAGGGCATAGTAGGAGGACGAGGAGGTGTGGGGCGCAGCAGCAGCAGGAGGAGGCACGTGTTTCCAAAAAATAAAGCAAGAGGAGGCGCAGGGCGCAGAAGCATGCGCAAGCATCCAGATGCGCGGGTCTGTCCGGACGTCCGGGCGGCATAGCCCCCTTTTCTGGCCATGGAGCCTGCGACCCTTGGCTCAACCCGAAGCCAGATATTTTGTCCTGGTAGAAGCACGGTACGGCCTGATACATAGGTTCATGCTTGGCCACTCCTAGGCACCGCATGGCCCATTAACAATATAGCAGGCCAATATCTTTACAAAGTCAAACATTAACTTTCCACCCAAACTGTTGCCTTTGACTCGCTCGGCCACACCCTCGGGCGTTTCTAGTTCCCCCACCCATGCCGCCTCCTTTCATCCACGTGAGGCGTGACAGTGTCGATCCTACCCGTGCCTCCTCCCATCGGTGATTCCACGTTGAGCGTGCCATGAGCCTATGACTCATCCCCTCCTCCCATCAATGATTCCGTGTAGAGTGAGCGCAAAGGACATGTCGATCCCACTCGCAGCTCATCCACCCTACAGCCATTGCTTCCTCCATATCTTTGTTCTGACAATGACGATTGCCGCGGCACCGCCTCCCCCTCCTATTGGCCACCTCCGCCTCCTCCATGCTGCTGGTCGTCGCCTCCTCATCGTCTATGCTCCGATGGCCAAGATGCAAGTTGGCCCGAAAGGCTAGGCGTACCGGGTGTTTCGGGCCGGCCTAACACGAAAACAGGTCCGCAATGTCGTGCCTAACCGATGGCCAAGCCTGTGGCCCTCTTTGGCACAGCCTGGTGGCCCCACGTGTTGCGCCCGCCCTGGCCACAATGGCCGTGCTTTTCCTAGGCCTGTGCCGTATCGGGCGGGGTGGCCCGGTTGGCCATCTATAGCCGCCCCTAGCCCCACGCCACTGACAGCTTTGGCTCCACCATCTGCACCTTCTGCTGCACACAGTACCGCTCGATCACAAGAAAGTCTCGTCCACACGGTCGCGGTCCACCTCACTCACTCTACCTGCGCATGTGACTCGCCCTACCTGCTCGTGTCCGCGGATATATACGTGTAGAGGGCTCATTTTTGCAAAGCGCTAGAAGATTAATTTTTGCGAATCGCTAGAAGATTAATTAGGAGTTTTTTTATTGCCTCAACCTTCAAAGTATAAGTTGTAATATTTGACTCACACACTCACTCACACCACGCGTACACACTCAAACTCACTAACACCGCTTAGTGCGTAAGATAGATCCATAACCTATATCTAGGATTAAAAGTATATGACTGAGAGATATAACGGTGGTGATCCATCTGTACAAGGCAACTAAAACTTATTATGGGAATAAATTCCAGCGAGAACACCAGCATCAAACACAAGGTCCCAATGCTGTGCTCATCAGCAAAGCTTACCAACCGAGTTAAGCCCCTACTAGCAAAACAACGGGAGAAAAAACTATCTAATATTTACAGTGAAATGAAGACATGAATAGTATATTTTTATTTATGTTTTGCTTTTTCTATAAAGTTTAACAAACTTGTCTGTATGTCTCTTTCTTTCTCCATGTTGTCCTGCCAATCAGAATTCAGACAACACTTTTCTTGCTTTTCTACTTACTTCTTCCATCGCTATACCATCTCCCTCGGCAATTCTTGCAGCTACTAGTACCCATCTTATTCCAGTCCATGCGAGTCTGGCCGCGCTCCGCCATGTCAAGATCGGAAAGTGCACCTTACGGCTGAGGGCTATGTAGCAGGACGTCGGGGACTCGGTTTGGGCGGCACGGCCTGCACCTCCCGTGCCGATGGCAATGACATCGATGGGCCTAGGAGTTCAGGCATCACCTCGTACATGCCTGATGGCGCCTCGAACTTCTGGCTGCGTGTGCCTAGCGTGCGGTTCGTCTCCGGCACCTCGGACGGCAGGCAGTCCATGGCAGGCACTTAGATTGGGTTCTGGCTCGGAACCTCCGGCATCGACAACGTGATGGTGTGACAGAGCACACTGATGATCCTGGTGAAGGAAGGCGATTGCCGGCATGCACGCGTCGATGATGTGGCCGCCGAAGGTGGAGCTCGACGGAAGTAGCGACGTTGTCACAAGGCGGACATGGGACGATGCCGTCTCTAGCGGCGGCGAGGCACGTACGGTCAAACGCGTCATCACATCACCCTCTTCGTTTTGGGTTGGATTAGAAAGAGGGCGACGGGATTTGTTGGGGACGCTAATTCCAGGACACAAATATATATCCATATTATTATATTTTTTCTATTTGGATTAAGATTTCTATTCACCTGAAATCGGTGAGATCTAATTGGATTATGATTCCTAGTTATATAAAGAGAAGGGCTATAAGCGGTTTTCCACATTCTCAGAGTTAGTTAAGAGATGTCCAGACAAAAAAAATAGTTGGAAATAAATTTTACCTCTTTAAGATAAGATTTCTATATATATATTCACCTGAAATCGGTGAGATCTAAATGGATTAGGATTTCTAGTTATAAAAAAAGTTCACCTGAAACCGATGAGATCTAATTGGATTAGGATTCCTAGTTATACAAAGAGAAGGGCTATAAGTGGTTTTTCACATTCTCAGAGTTAGTTAAGAGATGGTCAGACAAAAAAATAGGTGGAGATAAATTTTGTCTCTTTAATATTAGATATAGATTTGCTTTTGCTTATATAATCAGATTCTCTGTGAAAAAAGTGAGAGTCCCACCTACCACTTCGATTATTTCTGATTCTTTAGAGTAAAAAAATCCTCACAGTACCGATGATTATAATCAATTCGATTGTAAGCAGTCCCAAACAGGACAAGTTCATTCTAAAAGATTAGGAGTTAATGTAGGAAGTTGTAGGATGATTTTTTCTCTTTTTGCTAAAAGAATAAGATTAGGAGTATGTTTAAAAACTCTTGGAGACGCCGACAAAGAAATAATTTGCTGGCTAATCTGGGTTAGAATGTTGTTTTTCTTCTTGGAAAAGAGAGTATCAGGTTGGATCTCTCTCTCTCTCTTAATATCACATGCATCCTATTCGTTTGGGCTGATTTGGCTTATAAGCCATGACTGAAAGTACTGTTGGCTGGTTTAGTGTGAGAGAAAAATATTATTCGTTGACTGATAAGCTATGGCTTATAAGTCAAATACGACCAAGCGAACAGGCCAATGATTTCTCCCTACCATTTGCGTGTAACAATTTGGCAGAACATATCACAAATTTACATCCATTTCTCATTGGCTCTCTATCTGTACACGCTTGCTTATGTGCGCATGACGTAACACTAACTGAGCCCATAGAAACTAAAAATCCCATCTTTTCTTCACATGGAACACTACAGCTGAATTCTGCATATTGTCCTGGGGGACTTTAAGCGTGAGCTGAACTTTGGCTTTGATTGGCACCTCCTTTGTACTGCCGCCAGCATCTCCAACCTACATGCCAGATTTTACATCAGTTGATTCCAGTGTTCCGGTGCAAAAAAATAAATAAATACTTATTCAACACATAACTGCGGAAACTCTCTTAGACTACCAAATGATAGAAAGTGCAGAAAAGGTGTTTGCTCGTCGCAAACAGTAAAGGAAAAGAAAAGAAAGGTGTTCGCTTATTTGTAAGCGGTTTACTTGTAATAAACATTAAAATGTGAGGGGGCGCCTTACCCAAAGCGATGCCCATCCAAGCCTGTTGTCTGACTCATAGCCAGCTTTCCACTTGAGATGCTTGTTAGCCTTGTGTTTGTAGATGGCGCTCCAGTAGTTTGTGTCAAAATTGTACCAATAGCTGGCAACAAAAAGCTCTGTAAGTTCATTTAGATAACTCATAAACATCATCTTTCACTGGTGTCCAGGCTCAAATATTGCACTGAGGCATTGGGTTCATCTACTTAAGGGTTGTTTGGATCCCGTGACTAAAATTTAGGAGGTATATCAGGAGGATGTTGCATGGGGTATTCGGATACTAATAAAAAAAATAAATTACATAATCCGTCAGTACTCCACGAGACAAATTTTTTAAGCCTAATCAATCCGTCATTAACACATGCTTACTGTAGTAAAACATTGTCAAATCATGGACTAATTAGGCTTAAAAGATTCATCTCGCAAATTAGTTGCAAACTATGTAATTAGTTTTGTAATTAGTCTATATTTAATACTCCATACATGTGTCAAACATTCGATGGGACAACAACTAAAATTTAGGAGAGGCAACCAAACACCCCCTTAACCACCTAAACTACTAAACCAGGTATTGACACCCCAAACTATGTAAAACCATTAAATAGCCCTCTAGATGGTGTTGTCAGCGGGGTGCATTAATTAGCTATTATGTGGCAGTAACTTGATGATTGGCATGTGGGCCGTCCTCTGTGTTGCAGGTCTCAATCTCAACAAGGTTGTCACCAGTGATGGAGAGAAATAAAGAGGTGATGGAAGTAGAGAGATTACTAGAGTGATGTGCAGTTACAGATTGATCTGGCATGCCATAGGCAAGTTTGCCCATGTCAGAGTCCAGTAGTCCACATACAGTGCCGCGCCACGTAGGCAAAACCACCTCTAAAACTGTGACAAGCGGTTGTTTACATGGTTTTGGATAGTTTAGGGGGGCATAATATCATCAACCTTGAATAGGCAGGGGGTGACAGACTTATTCCTCATATGTGCTTCCAGCATTTATAGACCTCTACCCTACCCAACTTTAGAGATGTATGCAACCATATAACTGTTTGAATTTCAAGACAATAATGTCCGCCAAAATCATGCCAATGTTGTAGTTACCTCAACTTGTCCAAAGGCGTTAATTGGCGCTTGAATGCAAATGACAGAGAATTGGATGGTAACGAGATGCTGGGGACAAATGATATTTCATCATCCTATAGAAATTGAAACATTGTGAGTGGCAAATAGTAATATAAATAAAACAAAAAATAGCTGGGACAAGTCTTACCTTGTAGCGGTATTTAATGTTCATCGCATTGGCATTATACACAGCTGTGCAAACTCCATTCAAAACACGTGACTTCACAAGGCCATTTACTGACAAAATTCTGTCACCCTCATCCAAAATCTTCTCTTTAATTGAGACTTCACCATTTGGGAAGAAGAATGTTGCTCTTGGCTACAGTAAAGAAATATATAGTTTAATTTCTTTTAATGTGATCAACTCATGCATGTCAGCTGTTGGAATTCCCATGCAAATATCTTGGAATCCCTCTCTCTCTAAAGTAATTATCTAAGGCTCAAATCCAGCCCATCATTGATAAAATTGCTGATCGGCTTCCAGGATGGAAGGCTGACCTTTTAACAAGGGCTGGTAGGCGGATCTTAGTCCAATATGTGTTCCCTTCCATGCTAGTCTATCTAGCGATGACCGTAGAACTTCCTCCTTGGGCACTCAAAGCTATTGATAAAATTAGAATGAATTTCTTATGGAGATGGCACAAAGATGCTAAGAGTGGTCATTGCTTGTTAGCTTGGCCTAAAGTATGTCGTCCAGTTGAGCTTGGAGGACTAGGAATTTCCAACCTTCAAAATCTGAACTGGGCCCTAAGGATGAGATGGATTTGGCTGCAAAAGACTGAGGCTAACAGACCTTGGTCCGCCTTCACAATTCAAGTTCATGGCTGTGTGCGGGCCTTTTTTTTCCATGGCACTAGTGTCAGAAATTGGCAATGGCACCTCCGCTTTATTTTGGACTGATGGCTGCACGGACAATGTATTGCTGATCTTGCACCCCTGCTGTTTTCACTTGTGCCGAAAAGGAAGAGCTAATAAGAGGACTGTGCAAAAAGCCTTTACGAATTACTGTTGGGTATCTGACATCAAAGGTGCTTTAAGTGTTGAAGTGATTGTTGAGTATCTTGGCCTCTAGGACGTGCTTGGTCAGGTGGTTTTACAACCAGTAGACGACTCTCATGTTTGGCGCCTTTCTACTAATGGCAAATACTCTGCCAAGTCGGCCTATGAAGGAATGTTCCTGGGTGCTATTCCTTTCAGACCATGGGAGAGGATTTGGAAGTCACGGGCTCCAGGAAAATGTCAGTTTTTCATGTGGTTGGTGGCGCATAACAGGTGCTGGACAGTTGATCGTTTAGCACGGCGAGGTCTACCACACCACACCCTCTTCGCTGTCCACTCTGCGATAAACATGAGGAATAGATCAATCACTTGCTCTGTGCTTGCCCTTTCTCACGAGAATTTTGGTTTCTATTGCTGCAAAAGCTCAGCCTGGCTCTAACCCCGCAAGTCAACGGTGTATGTTCGACGATTGGTGGGAGAGGGCAGAATCCTTGATTGATAATCAAACCCGAAAAAGACTCGACTCTATATAATCGGTGTGTCTTTGATGGGGCATCTCCAAATTTAGCTGGAGCTTTATTGCGCGCTAAAAAGGAGCTGTTGGACTGGTTTTTGGCTGGGGCTAAAGGGGTTTCCCACATCCTTGCCTTTGTGCTGGATGGGGAACAATAGCCGCAGGCTAAGGCTTGATCGGGTCATGTTTGTCTATTGTCATCAGCGATCTGTGCAACCTTTTGTAAAGTAGAGTGAAGTTTTTGCTGAACTGTGTTTTTTGTTTTGTTTTTTGTGTTGGTGTGTTGTGCGCATTTGTAAGGGTTCTCGTCCCTTTTCTTCGAGACGCAGCTCTCCTGCGTTTTTGAGGAAAAAATCAACTCATGCATGTTTCTGATGAACTTAAGCTTAGCGAAAGCTATTGTGTCCGTATGGTCACTAATAAAAAAATCGGCCCTGGGGGGAAGACCTCCACCGGGTTTTGCACTAAGACAAAACAACTCCAGCTACCAGGACATGCCATTGACTGCCAGGGACACGCTATTTCTCTGCATAGTGGCGAGGAAAAATTGCTTTAACCCAGACCTGAAAATCTGCTCAAAATTTGTATACTGACCAGTGCATTAGGAGGAACCAGAGATGACAATTCAATCTTGCATGGTGAATCCCTCAAATTCGCAGTAATTGCCACTTCTCCTTGTCGCTCCTGAGGAAACAGACACATTAACATATATTATGCAGTAATGTAAATGTATGTCACATACTGGCAAAGATGTGCAATTTCATATTTAAAAGAGAAAGCAATGAATATAATATAAGTTTCAGATTTAGCACTATATTTACCACATATAATGGTAAATCTTTACTGTTATAACGTTTAGTAGGCAGATCAAAATAAAAACCAAATCTAGTCTAGAATGCATTATCTGATCATTGCATGATGATATTATCTGATATTAGTCAATGTGTAAGCTAAGAAAACCAACCTTGAATGAGTAGCATCTAAGAAAAGAAGAGAATAGTTACTGTAACTGGAGATGGCTGCAATACTCTCTTTTGGACAGACAAAGTGGTTGGAAGGGCCCATTGCTGATCCTGGCCCACATTTATTTGCCCTCGTTTATAAATGCAAAACCAATCAGCGGATGGGGTACAGGAAGTTTCAGTTGATCGCTGCTAGTTCAAGATAAATACAGGAAGCCGTTTCGGTAGCTGCTCTGTCCAAATATCTTGATATCTGGGATTTAGTAATTGGGTGGAGCTCCAACATGATACAAAGAACAAATATATGGGGCTGTTTGTTTGCCTCGACGTGGCCTTGCTTGTTTGCCTGGACGCCCACCAGAGCCCGGCCAGCACAGTGCTTAAAGCACCGTGGAGCCTAGCCGCGGGGGAACAAAATCCAGTTTTGTTTCTCCCAGGCACGGCTCACTCCATCCTCCTCCTCTCAACCGTAATCGCATGGGCAAGGGTGGCTGAGGTGTTTGGCCCACAACACTTCCAGACTAACAAACAGCATCTGTACAAAGCAAGGCCCAACAGATATGAGTCCACCAAACAAGAGAAGTTGCACTAGTCTGGACTGCCTGGGAATGCCCTGGCTCTACTCATCCGTATGGGCCAGCACAGTCGACGCAAACAAACACGTCCTATGTGGAGATTTGCTGGAGATGGACGGCATTCAGCTAAGATGGCCTATCAAGCATTTTTTTGTAGGATCCCATTAACCTGGAGCCATGGAAGTCGATTTGGAAATCATGGGCTCCTAAGAAATTTCAATTCTTCCTTTGGTTGGTGGCACAAAAAAGAAGTTGCAATTTGAACACAAATATATTGCAGAACGAGATAAATGAACAATACACCCGTCGAAAAAGTTAAAATGAACTTTGTAATACAAGTAAATCCTTGACCTTATTTTGTTTCCATTTATGACACAAACTATCAAGTTATTGTGCATTCCAGAGAATGCCAAAGAGATGTCCAAGTAGAGAAGCTGGAAAACAGTTTGTTTTTACATAAGAAACCATTCTAATGCATGCAGTACTCTTTTAAAAAAGAATGAGGTGGTTTTCCAGTGGACTCAACCTTAGTACAAAAAATCTTCAACTGAATATTGTAAAGATGCAGTAAATACAAAGCGAGTTTCATGGACAACTTAATGCTCAGTAACAACCAAAATATCATCTCTTCACAACTGATAAGTATCCATGATTCAAAGTTTTCATTTTGATAGAAGTTAACTCCACATTGCAAGTCCAGTACATAACTAATGTATGCTAAGGACAGGTCAAAAGTCCTTTTGTTACAAAATATATGCTATATGATTTTATTTTAGATTTGATTAAAAAATCACATGAGGAACAAAAGCACATGGAAGTAAGGTGAAGAGAAATACTCAATATATAGAATGAATGGATAAGCTGAAATATAGAAAATACTCCTAAAAATTTCATCATAGGAAACATGACAGTGGTAATAAAAACATCTCAATGAACAGAACACACCTTTCTACTGTGGTACTTGAATTGAAAGCACCTATCCAATTGAATGCAAGAAACAATAGATTTGTCATATTCGCTTGCTCGTAAACGATCGTAAATTTCCAGCCGGGAACAGTGTTTTTCTCTCACACCAAACCAGCCAGCAGTAAATAATCCACGATACGATACGGCCTCCCGAACAGGCAACATGAATATATGATTGCTCTCCAGTCTGGCAGTTCTGAAACACAAGCCAGTTTCAGAAAGTCACATGGTACTCTATATGGAGCCATATATAAAAAACAGGTGTCACTTCCAACTTCAGAACTCCTACCATGAAAATTTCATAACCATTTTGAGCAGAAAATAAACATAACACATGGGAAATAATTTCCGTCAGAGGACCTAAAATGTCTCTGTAATCAGAAATTTACAGTAAGGATAAAGTATAGGCGACCAAACTATGCTGCAAAACGCATGGACTTACAATAGAGAATAGGCTTTCAATATTCCTTATCTGCTCTATGCCCTTATTAACATGGATTCAGCTTTGTTCGAAGAGCGATGAAACAACAGTTCGCATCTAAGTTACACGGATACGTGGCCGAGGGAGCATATCACGTATCCGATACGTATCCGATACGGATACGCGGCGGACACGCGGTCGATACGTATCGACGGAGTATCCCATTTTTTTATTATTTTCATGAATATTGAGTACGTTTCTGGATACGTATCAGTCTATTGGATACGGCCCAGCCCAACAAGTTTCCCTCTGTCCCCGACGCCCTACCTCCCGTGGTCGCGCCGCCTCCAGCGAACGCGCGCACGGAAGCCCCGTCCCTGCTCGCCGGCCTCCTGCGACGAGCCTCCGCCCCGCTTGCCGGCCGCCGGCGATGAGCCTCCGGCCCTGCTCGCTGGAGACGAGCCTCCGCCCCCACCTCCGCGCACAGCCTCCTGCGTACACGTGCGCCGCCTCAGCAGGGGATGCAGATGAGAGGATGATTCGATTCAGCAGCAAAGCAAGCTGTCTACTCTACTTCTGCATGTACATCCCCTTCCCCATTCTTGATCTATTCTACTTCTGCAGTTCTTAATCTTGTCTGTTCCCCACTTCCCCTTCTTCATTAGTGTTGCCCATGCTTCATTGCTTGCATGCAGTAGATGGCCTCTCCAAATTTTGTAGTGCTGCACTGCACAAGCTGAGTGCTAGTGCTAATCCTAGCATAGGATCTGTGGGCGCGGCTGTGGTTAGGATCTCCTGTGAAACAAGAAACCAACAAGTTTTAGACTTTCACAATTTTAATTTGTATTATTATTTATTTATTAAAAAATAGTAAAATGTATCCGCGTATCCTGTTTTCTAGAAAATTGCCGTATCCATATATCCGTATCCTTCCGATACCGATACACGTATCCGTATCCGTGCTGTAGGTTTGCATCATGTTCGCCGCTTATCTAGAGAATCACAAAATCCCCCCAACTGACATGATAGATATATGGACCAGTCTTTTAAGTAACAAAACCACATGTTCCCAATAATCAAAGATCCTACTTACTCAAGGAATCAAGGTAACATCAGCATTCCGTTCTTAAGCCTTTTGAACTACTCCTGACAGAACTACATGTTTCCATGAATCAAAGATCCCACATAATTCATGCTATCATATGATTTTCAATTCTTTGCTTTTTTCGCTATATATGCCTGGAGCAGCTATTTAGTGAATATATCAACGTTGTTTAGCATGGCATGAGTATTTGAAAAAACAAGATAGTGAAATCAATATATTGAGCCTACATAACTACTTCCCACTACATTTCCAACATAGGGGCTCTCCAATCCCCATTTAAGCTTTTGTTGAGAAGGAAAGTCCCTCTGTATATGGTCCTTTTTTCTGTCAAATTTCATTCCCAGCCACATTTGGGTTTCAACTCTAGCCTATCCCAACTTGCTTGGGACTAAATGGCTTTGTTGTTGTTGTTGTTGTTATTTCATATTTCATAATTACACAATCCTATCCGTTCTCTTTGCTTCCAAATGTTGGGAAGCTAGTGCTAGTTGAACTAACTGAACCACGTATGGTATCATTCCCAATTCATCACGACACGCTCAGACCAGGGTCAGCAACAAAATTCGATGTAAAAAAAAGGTGCAATCAATCAGAGGCCGCACCTTGGTGTTGTGCGAGGCGCGCAGTCGCAGGGAGCCGGCGAGGTCGGCGGCGCCGCGCAGCACGGCGCCTCTGGTTGCGGGGTCGACGACGACGGAGAAGTTCCGCGCCATGAGCCCAACCTCGGGCGGGCCCCAGGGGATCCCTCCTCCCCCAGCGCCATGGCTAATGCGGAGGCGGAGCTTGGCGACGCCGTCGAGGACGCGACAGGAGAGGCGGTGGGAGAAGAGCCGCCGTTCGCTGTCGAACTCTGAGGTCACGCGGATGGGCGGGCGCCGGCGCAGGAGCGCGGGCTTCGTCTCCGGCTCCGACTGGGGTGGGGCGGGGGAAGGGGGCACTGGGGCGGGCGAGGCGGCGCCTTCTTCGTCCATGGTAGGAGGAGGGAGGAGGGCAGGCGCCGCCATGCGATGCAGCGAGATGGGTAAGAGAAGAGAGGTGACGAGAAGAGCAAGGAGTGAAGAAGACACGTGGTGTCTGTTCCAACAACCTCAACCAGCCAAGGATATGAATGATAGAAATGATAGAATAGAATAGAAGATATGGTAGAAGAGAATTTTGAAGATCTCTCGGTTCTTTTTTTTAAAAAAAAAATGCAATTCTCCGATACATTATCCATCCTATAAGCACCGCATTTGCACGGTTGCACCACGTTCGCTTACTACTTTTCAGCCGATAAACAGTATTTTTCTCTCACAACAAATCAGTATAAGCATCAACATAAACCAAATTTTGCCTCGTTTTGTTTGGGAGTGTACGTTGTTTGACAGATTTTTTTTTGCTTCGGTCCTCAACTTACTTAGCCTCAATGATAGTCAAAAGTAAGCTTCCTCACTTCCTCTTGCTTTTAAGGCCCTGTTTGGATCTATGGGGCTAAAGTTTAGCTTATCCTTTTTAGTCACCTTTTAACTCTCATGGATCCAAACAGGAGGGCTAAAAGTGGAGGCTAAATTTTAGCCCGTCTATTTTTCATTAGCCTCTCCAAGGTGGGTTAAAGAAGGCTAAAGGTGGTCCCTTCATGGCAAAAGACGCATATTGCCCCCACCCATCCCCTTTTGGTCCTTTGCATGAGTATTAATTAGGAGCAAATAGGTCATGGTGGGTACATGACTAATCTTTAGTCCCTGAATCCAAACAGCCACATGGGCTAAACTTTAGCCCTTTCATTCTTAGGGCTAATCTTTAGCCCTGGGCTAAATATTAGCCTCATGGGTCCAAACAGGGCCTAAGAGTTGTTACCATCTTATCAACATTACAGGGGTGTTTGGGTTGATAGTCCAGGCTTGAGGTATTTGGAAGTCTGGTTAGGGCCAGTAGGTAGACTCTACTAGCGTACTGATAGTCCTTGGCGAGGCTTGGCAGAAATGTAGGTGATGAGCCGACGGCCGTTTCCCAAAGCTAGCATGCATAAGCCATTGGTGGCCTCCGTGAAGGAATCATGTCATCTTCCCACCACCGTCAACACCGCACCACTGCTTGCCTCTTGTCGCAGGGTAAGGTTGTTGTTACATTATCTCACACTCCTCTTGTTGACGCGGTCAATGACATTATCCATGCTCTCGTCAACGTGTCCTTGAGTAGATCCCTTCCCCCTCCTCTTCCCTTTCTGTTCTTGAGTGACTACACCTCTCACCGATGTGTCCTTAACGTTGTCATCTATGCAGGAGGGAGAAGACATGCCGAGGACACTCGGAAACCATCGGGTCCGAATGGCCAGACCCGATCATCGCACCGAACAGAGAGTGCGGGAGCGCAGGGAGCACGTGCGGCGGGAGCTAAGTGCGGGAGTATTTCCAATGCAGCAGCCCGATCCTAGGTGCGTGTACGTTAGTTTATCTTCTTGTTTCCTTTTTTCTATTCTTCTTATTTCTTTCGTTTTTTCTTTTCCTTTCTTTTCTTTTCTATTCCTTTTTCTTTTTCTTTTCATGCTTCATTATCTATTTATATTTTCTTTTTTTTGTTTTATGTGATTTTTTATTATTCTTTTAGTTTTTAATTTTTATATTTATTTTATTTCTTTTGTTTTCTTTCCTTCTCTTATTGTTTTTTATTTCCTTTCTTCATTTTTTATTTTTGTTTTTGTTTTGGTATCATGTGATTTTCTTTTCTTTTCTTTTCTTTTTCTTTTTTGCTTCATTTTTTATTTTATTGTTTTTGCGGTCTACCTCCAAGTACGTTAGTTTTTTTTCTTTTTTTCTTATTCTTCTCATTTTTTTTCTTTTCTTTTCTTTTCTTTTTTTCTTTTTTCTTTTCATGCTTCATGTTTTTATTTAAATTTATTTTTTTGTTTTATGTGATTTTTTATTATTCTTTTATTTTTTTTATTTTTATGATTCTTTTATTTCTTTTTTATTTTGTTTTCTTTTCTTTTTTTATTTTCTTTCTCTAATGTTTTTTGTGTTGTTCATGTGGTATATATGTGATGCTCTATGTTTTTTATGATGCTCATGTGTCATATATGTGATGCTCTGTGATGTTTTTTATGTTTACGTGGTATATATGTGATGTTCTATGATTTATTTTTGTGATGTTCGCGTAGTATACATATGATGTTCACGTAAGTATACACTGATGTTCTATGATGTATCTATGATATTCACATAGTATACATGTGATGTTTATGATGTTTTTTATGATGTTCACATGTGATGTTCTATAATGTATTTTGTGATGTTCTATAATGTATTATGTGATGTTCACATAATATACATGTGGTGTTCGCGTTGTATACATACGATGTTCTATAATGTATTTAGTGATGTTCTATAGTGTATTTAGTGATGTTCATTCAGTATACTTGTGATGTTCTGTAGTATATTTTAGGATGTTTGAAAATTATCCATGTAATGTTCTTTTAAATTTTTATCTATTATGTGTTTTTATTTTTTTCCTAATGCTTTACTCTCGATTTTATTATTTTTATTTATGTTATGTATTTATTTTATTTATTTTTGTGTATATTATAATACCGATTTTATGAACCTAAAACTAGAAGAGATAATTTCTTATTTGACACTAGACAAATGACACATTCCTTTCTTGGCCCTCGAAATTTTTTCCTTCCTTATTGGACACTGACTTCAACTTTCGTTCCCAAATTGATATTCTGTTGGATTTCTCGTCCGGGAACCGTTAAATGCCTACGAAAAGACAATTTTGCCCATGTGGGTCCCACCACCCTTCTCCCTCCTCTCCTCCACACCGGAGCCTCCCCCTGCAGCCACGCCGGAACTTCCCTCCTAGGCGGCCGCGCCTCCCTGCGACTCCTCGACGGTCTACGCCTACCGGCGACGCTCGGGTGAGCGCCGCCGGTGCCTGAACGTGCATGGGCCTGGCGCATGGAGGTGACTCGCCGGGGAGGACAAGGCGAGCCCGGCGGCATGGACGCGCTTCCCCGGAAGCCACCGGCGCCGTCCCTGTGCAGTGCCATCGTCCACCGCCTGGCGCGCACCCGTAGCGCCGCCGCGGCTGGCAGCGCCCGGCCTGACCCCCGTTCGCCTCGGCGCCGCCTGCCCCCCGCCACTAGGCCTTGGGATAGAGCCTCCCATGCGGTAGGCCCCTCCTGCTCATCCCCGCGCCGCTGCCAGCACTCCAACTCGGAGTCCGGGGCGGTCGGGGAGAGGCCGCCGGAGGCGAGCTAGCGGCGCGGCACAGCGGATTCGGCGCCTGCGTGCGCGAGGCACACCACGGTGGCCAGGAGCGCGAGGAGGAGGAGCGTCGAGGATTTGTGCGGTGTTGAGGAGAGGAGGGAGAAGGGGAGGAAAGGAGGGAGAAGGGTGGTGGGACCCACATGGGCAAAATTGTCTGTTCGTAGGGCATTTAACGATCCTTGGATGGGAAATCCAACAGAATGTCAATTTGGGAACGAAAGTTGAAGTCAGTGTCAAATAAGAAAGGAAAAAATTCGAGGGCTAAGGAAGGAATGGGTCATTTGTCTAGTGTCAAATAAGGAATTATCTCAAACTAGAATATTGTTCTTCTAAACCGGGAACATTGTTCTTATGAAGACGGAACTTTGTTCTCTGAACCTAGAACATGTCTCTACTCAATAAAAAAATGTTCTATCTTGATAAGATAAATGTTTGTTAATAAGATTTATCCAAACATATCCATGTGGGATCTTGTTTTGAAGGATTTATTGCAAGAAACCTGATGGTATAATCAGAATTTAATTTAGATGTTTAGTTTAACAGGTATGACTTTTTTTAGTTGATTGAAAGTCATGAGTGAGAAGTGGGCCCTAAGCTGCGCAAACCAACGGACATATGAGAATCTCCCGCACGCGCTACGTCGTTCGGCGCGGGGTGCCGGTCCGATTGACCGGACCCTAGCAGCCCCCGAGGACACCGAGGACACTGGGCGTAGCAGCCAACATGCATGAGGACGAATGTCAAAACAGGCACCATAGTTCTTTGCTTTCTTGTCTAATCTTTGGTCCCTTTTTCCATGGAGATGCTCAATGTACTAACAAGGATAATATGGTGGGGATAGAAAATTAAGGGTGATGAGGAGATGATAGAGCTACCGCAGGGCTCCCTTTTGTGGCATCCATATCAATGCCAACCTGCTGCAGGCTGGTGTCCTTCCATGGTGCCCATGGAAGTGGTGTGCTAGTGCTCACAACCTGTTCAGCAAAATGCTTAAAACCAATCACGCATAGTGAGAGGCGGAGTTAAACTCACTTTAGAAAATGTTGAGGTGAGTGCACCCAAACAAGTCTGCCAACCAAAGAAGATTTAATCAACCCAGACTTATCTATAACAGGGCAACTAAACAATGTCTCCTTGCATTGGCTAAAGCTAACTTGAGTGAGCCTGGATTGTTTTGCTAGACAGGTTTGGTGGGGAGTGAAGTAGTCACACCGTATTTTTTCACCTCTTGATAAACTTTTTGTGGCACATGATTCACTACTACAGAAAGCTAATCACCGTCGGCTCCAGAACCCCCATTACCGACGATTTTGGCCCCCATTGGTGATTTTACCACCGTCGGTCCGGCGTACCATATGGCGGTGACGGTGTCATACCACCACCGGCTTGGCGTATGATACGGCAGTGATGGTGTAACGATTGACGCCGGGTCAACGTATGATCTGGCAATGATGATGCGTCCATCAATGTTGGTCCGACGTACCATCCGACATAGATGGTGTAACCATCGGTGCTGGGTCGGCGTACGATCCGGCGGTGATAATGTAACCATCGATGCCGGCCCGACGTACCATCCAATGGTGACGATGTACCTATCATCGCAGGGGCAGCGTACCAACCGGTGGTGATGATGAACATATCAATGCCAGGCCATCCAACCATTCGGTGGTGATGATGAGAACATCAACGCCGATCCGTCGTACCATTCGTCTACGATGACAAGAATATCAACACCGGTTCGGAGTACCATCCGACGG